AATAATTTCCTTTTTTTCCACTAGCTCTCTACCTTTAAAAACCTTCCCTTTTCTGTAGTCCTTTGGGGCTCCCCCACTACTTGCTAGATGGGACATTGCCCGATTCATGAATAAAGCCAATTAGATCGTTAAAATTTACTCAGTTGTATTTTTGCTATTTAATACTTTCTTTGTTCTGGATCTGATTTCTAGTTTTCTCTGCTTTACTTACCAGAAGCTTCTGAGTGTCAATTATTGTATTTTTATTTGTTCTTTTGTACTTGCCACTGCTACTATATTTTTCCTTCTAACCTATTTGTGTTTAATAGTTGTATATCTTTTGTCTGCCGCAAGGGCAGATTACTTCTCTCTGAATTGTAGCTGTGATTCTTATACTTGCTTCTGTTTAAGGGTTACCATTATAGTGTTTTGTTTTTCTGGCTTTGCTCTTTTCACGTAGTAAACTTGTTGACTGATCCTAGGTTACTTTTTTATTTTAGTCATCCTTAAGTATACCTTGATGCGCTCTTTTGTTATTGTTACTGATGATTTTTATTTGTTCCAGATAATTTCATCGTATCTTAATAAGTTTAAAAGCAGGAACAATGCTGTATACACTAGTAATTTCCTGAATGTACCCAGATGGAAATGACTGAAATTCCACAAAAATTCCACAATTCACGAGACAGAGTTAATATAAATAGCCTCAAACTTTATTTCCATTTCCTACTCCAATTATTTGAGAAGCAGGCAGGCAGTAGATACCATTCTCTAATCAGCAAAATCCTACTGCATATTCAATCACTTGGAGAATTCTACTAGAATCCACCTATTTGTGTAAGGTATTTTCCTTAAAATGCACCCCCCCACCTTTCTACACAAACATTTCTTGAAAGATAAAGGCAAAAAGACATTTAGAAATGCTTCAATCTTTTCTACTCTATTAGTATGTAAGAAATGAAGAGATCAGTGAGTTCTGTATCATTTTTGGAGCCATGTTATTCAAGACTACAGCTCAATTTAATTCAAGTCGAACAGTATGTGTGAGTAATTTGTTAAAACAGAACATAGTACTCAAAACATCAAAGTTACAACTTCAGTCACTGGAGAAACTAGTTCTACTACTTGAACTTGAAACGACTACCTAAAAACATCAAGGATAAATAGTGTACCTAAAACTCTATAGTTGTACCTTAATGCAGAACTAAACTTATCACCCACCCAAAGCAATCTGTTTTCATCCCTTCCCCACTCATTAAAAACTTTGCTTTTATTTTCAGTTTTTAAAAAAACTTAGCTTATATACAGTAGTCTCATGAAGATTCCCTGAAGCACCCCAGAATGAAAGAATGCTTTCTTCCACCAAATTCTTTCAGAGAGGAACTCTTATATATGCTAGCAGGTGATTACCTTTTGCTCCTACTGGAACTGGAACTGACCAGGGAGGCAAGAGGTACCTCTCTGACTGAAAATAACTGGAAATTCCTAAGCAAAGCAAAAAAAGCTTAATTTTCACAGTTAACAAAATAGGGCAGGTAGAAGTGTGAAAGCTTTCACCATCTTCCAACAATTTCTACATATGTTCCTGAGCCATCTGGTGGTATCTGCAAGCCTTCAAAACTGCCTAAATATTTTCAGTATTTTAGTACTAAATAATACCACAATAAGTATTAAAATACTTATTTTAAACAATTTTCCCAGAATAAAAATATTTATAGAAAAGCAAAATACACACTGACTCTGGGCTATGAATTCCTTATGGTCATGACCTCTCAACTAACATGGAATATTTACAACTTGGTACTTACTAATGGAATAATTCTATGCTTCTGCCTTATCTCCCAGTTAGCTCTTTTTGAGAGCAGGGACTCAGTCTTAAAAGAGGCAGTACAGCCTAGATTAGACCTGCCTCAACCAATGTAGCTGTTTTTATCTGTTTTATATTGGAATTCTGGGAAGATCTGTTTCAAAAAAGAGTTCAATGTTGTTATTGTTTTGTTTTTAGGTTTAAAAAAATACTTGTACCTGCCCTAAAATTAAAAGGACTCAGAATACCAAGTGTTGGCAAAGATGCAAAGTAACTAGAACACATTCCTGTATAGTATAGCCATACATTAATGGTACGGACACTGTGGAAAACAAGTATCCGTTAAGGACATCTAAATATAGAGATATAGATTTATCTTACGATCCAGCAATTCCACTCATTGGTATATACCCAAGAGAAATTAATGCTATGTTCACCAATAGTAATGTACAGGAATGATCTTAGCAATTTTATCCATAATAGCCCCAAACTGGAAACATCAAATGTCCACCAATGGAACAAAGGATAAACTGTGTTATATTTATATGCTGGAATATTACATAGTAATGAAAAAGAATCAACTGCTGCTCTTTACAATGTGATGGGTAAATCTAACGTTAAATGGAAGTAACCAGGCAAAAAATAATAAATAGGTATGCTTGCATTTATATGAGTTCAAAAACAAGCAAGACTGTTTCTGAACTTCAGATATGACATCATAGCCCCTCTGGTGATAGAGGCTGGAACAGTGGTTACTTTTGGGTTGAGGAAGATGTTAACCAAGAAGAAGCATAAAGGAGCTTCCTGGGTGCTAGTAATTTTCTGTATTTTTATATGGATGGTGATTATACAGGTGTATACAGATGTAGACATTCATCAGATTGTACACTGAATATCTGTGCATTTAATTATAGGTATGCCTTAATTAAAACTTATATGGGGCGCCTGGGTGGCTCAGTCATTAAGCGGCTGCCTTCGGCTCAGGTCATGATCCCAGGGTCCCGAGCCCGGCATTGGGCTCCCTGCTCACAGGGAGGCTTGCTTCTCCTTCTCCCACTCCCCCTGCTTGTGTTCCCTCTCTCACTGTCTCTCTGTCAAAAAATAAATAGGCTCGGGCGCCTGGGTGGCTCAGTTGGTTAAGCGACTGCCTTCGGCTCAGGTCATGATCCTGGAGTCCCTGGATCAAGTCCCGCATCGGGCTCCCTGCTCAGCAGGGAGTCTGCTTCTCCCTCTGACCCTCCCCCCATCTCATGTGCTTTCTCTCTCATTCTGTCTCTCAAATAAATAAATAAAATAAATAAATAAATAAAAATAAATAAATAAATAGGCTCAGGTCGATTCCAGGGTCCTGGGATCAAGCCCCGCATCGGGCTCCCTGCTCTGCGGAAGCCTACTTCTCCCTCTCCCACTCCCCCTGCTTGTGTTCTCTCTCTCGCTGTGTCTCTCTCTGTCAAATAAATAAACAAAATCTTTAAAAATAAATAAATAAATAAAATCTTAAAAAAAAAAAAACCTCATATAATACCAAGAGTCTTGGAATAAGCACTGCAAGTTCTAGTCATGGTTCTGCCACATGTGATTCTTGACAAGGCACAAAACTTCACTGGGTCTCCATTCTGCATACTAAATGTTAAGTAAGGTCTCTTTGCCTTCTAAAATCTATCTATTTGTAGTTTCTATGAATTTCCTCGGTCTTCATGTTTGCCTTAAACATAGTAATTATATATATACATATATGTAAAATAATCTTTTCCTGATTTCCACCAAAATTTACCTTGAGCATGTCGCCTTAATCCCTATTTGAACAGACTGGGGGTGGGGGAGGGGAGTGAGGTCTAACAGGTTTATTTGATACTACTAGAAGGAACCAGCATCAGAATATCTGGGCCAACATACAAGCACATAGAGTGAAATGCTTACCTAGGAATACAGGTGATTAGAAATTAGTTATGGTCTATTATCTGGAAAGAACAATAAACTATGATGACAGTAGCTAGGGCTATATAATTTTCTTTGAATCAATAAAAATAACCCAGAACCAGTAAAGTGATCATACCTAATAATTTATAATCAATACCCTGTAGCTAAGTGCAGAAACGCAGCTGTTCCTTTCAAATTATCTACATCAGGAATCGATACTCATTGTACAAGTTCTATACACTGAAAAAAGGAAATCAAGAAGACATTCCTTGGTAGGAGGAAGCAGGGTACCTAAGGGAGAAGTACACTGTTTTATCTTTTCTTTCTTTTTTTCTACAGGGGGCACATATCACTTTTATAAACGGAAAAAAATAAAATAGAACTTATTTATACCCAACTTTCCCCATAAGGAGATGCTACCTGAATTTAACAGTAGTTTCCTTTTTATATCCTTGTTCTAGGTATATAAGTCATCAAATCACGTTGTCAGATCAAGTCAGGGCACCCCAGTCACCACTTCATAAAAAAGGGGAAAAAATGCAATGATTTTAAAAGTATTTGAATCTAAGGAACTTCCTGTATGGATTATGGATTAAGCTTCTAAATTGTGGAGTTCTCTACCCTTTTGTAAAAATCAAGATCCATCAGATGACAAAAGAAGTACTACATGTTATAAAATGTCACAGAAAACAGCACTAGCCCATTGAGACCAAGGCATGGATTCTAATTCTGGCCTTTCCATCTAAATTTGAGTGAATCATTTTTACTTTCTGATTCAGTCTTCCTACCTGTAAAATGAAAGGACTGCGTTAGATAAACTTAGTCTTTATTTTTATTACTAAAGATTCCTAAATGCTTAGAATTCACCACTTGCTTACCAACATGTGAGATGCTTCTCATATTAACCTTAATCCACACAAAAGCCAACTATCCTTATTAATAAAAATATCTAGAAATTAGAAATCAGGAGTCACTAAGATTGAATGATGGACATTAAGGCCTAAGGTTTGTGAAAAAGACCTTTCACTGCTATAAATTGGGTCTGCTTCCATCAAAAAAATGAAAAGGACCACAATTCATAAATATACAAATGAATTAAATAAATGAAAGGGTCTATAATGAACTGGCTAGAGAATTTTTTTAAAACTCATTGATAAAGTTATATCTATTCCAAAAAAGAGCTGTAGTTTACACACACACACACACACACACACACACACACACACACACACACACACACACACCCCTTTATTACCTGAAGATAGGGTAAAAAAAAATAATAACATCTACTCACTTTGACAGAGATACTCCTCCAGCTTTCCCAATCATCTCCTCATGATGTAATACTGAGTGGTTCCACGGAATATGAAGGAACTTTAAGAGTGTTCTCATCCACCGTTCAGGATGCAAGACAAGTTGTTCATAGTGAACTAACATGCATTTTTTATAGCCAACCTCCATACACTGGTTATACATGGTCTCTATGGCACGATTCCACTTGGTCAAACAGTCTCTATAGCTGTTCAGGTCAAACCCAGCTATAGTAACTTTCCGAGAAATCATTGAATGTACTGATGCCCGGCCATCTCGGACCATCAGGAGAAATTTGGCATTGGGGAATAACCTAGCAAGGTAAGTTAAGGATTTCAGGGCAAAAGGATCTTTATTACATAAATAAGGAGCTGGTTCCCCATGCTTAACAATAATTTCTAGTAGGAAGGCTTGCATGGCAGAATCCAGCACTTCATCGGTGACACCAGCCTCATCCAAGCGTATTTTCTCTTTACTTGACCGTGACCACATCTGCTTCAGGGCCAGGATTCGGGGAATCACCCTGGTTTCCTCTCCACAGCGAATATCAGGGTGTGCATCTAGCATGGCCCTCATAAGTGTGGTTCCACTCCGAGGCACACCTCCAATAAATATTAAAGGCATATCTTTGTGATAGGCAAAGGTTTTATTGGCTTTGATGTCCAGACCAGTTCGCACAGTGGTCTTTGTGTTCTCCAATTTGAGAGGCTGGCTACGTTCTTCTATTCGGTGATGGCATTCCATGGCGTGTTGGCCCAAGTAAAACACAGTCACAGAACTAATCACCAGACATGCCAATAGTAAGTTCTGCTTCAGTTTTCCAACCATCTTGATGTGGTTATCTTGTTATTAAACAGATAGTCTGCTCAAAATAATTTTCAGAAAATGTTCAGGCCATGGAGATTCTACCGAAGAAAGAGGATCAACATCTAATGGGAAAAGGAAAAAGTTATTTTATCATCACATTAAGACTGTTTACAAAAAAAAAAGATTGTTTACAACTTAGTCATCAGTGATCACCATTACATTTTAGCTAGAAAGAAGCTGAAGCAATCTTAGATACTGTGATATTCTTAGAACACAAGTATACACAAATGCAAGCAAAAAGAAATCATTTCTAATCAGAAACAGCTTGTCTTAATGTAACAATTCTATGTACCTTGCACAGAATGGAAAAATAAAACTATTTCTATCAGTGAGTCATGAAAATATTTAATATGCCCAAATATGTTTGGAGTCTAACCCAAGGCTCATCACTGATACTCACATTTGCTTCACCCCTAAGAAGTCATTATCTTTACATTCTACTCTAAAGAGAAATTACAGAAGAAATATACAACTCCCAAAACTTTAACAAAGATTCAGTTTATCCTGCAAGGCCAGATACTTGGGCTTGGCTGAGGATAAGCTTTGAAAAAGACAGCAGTGCAGTGACCTCTGCTCTCAGGAAACAAAGTCTCATGAACGGACAGATATGCAAACAATGACAAAATGCAATCATTACCTTAGTAGAAATAAGCCAACGGGACAATGAGAGTCTAATGAAAAGAAGCACATAAGTCTACCAGAGGAAGCTATAAAAGCCTCATAGAAAATAAGAGGAAGGGGTATTCTAAACAGTAGGAACTTGCGTGCAAGTTCCTGTGCACAATGACATGACAGAACACAGCATAAGAGGGAGGGGTACTCTAAGCACTAGGAACTTGCACAATGACATGACAGAACACAGCATATTTAGGTGACAAGAAGTAGTTCAGGAGAGCTGGTGAACAGTGTGTAAAGACATTAATGCATATGTGTCTGTGATCTAGCCTTCAGAAGGACAGAGAAGATTTAGACACAGTTTTCTAAGCTGAAGATACACATGACCAAAGATGTGGATGTGTAGAAGGGCATGTATGTAAAACACATACACTATGTAAAATTTACATATTACATGTATATGTAAAATACACATATTATGGAAACACTAGTTTAGCTGGAGCTAGGATACGTACTATGAAGCAGACAGCAATCAGACTACACCTAGACTAAAAAAATGTACCCTGAATTCTCAGTGGGGAGGTGTGATAGTTAATTATGTGTCAACTTGGCTAGGCTATGGAGCCCTGTGTTTGTCAAACACCAAACACTAGTTTGGTCTAGATGTTGCCGGGAAGCCATTTTTTAGATGATTTAACAATTAAATAAAAAAATAAATCAACAGACTGATTAAAGCAGATTAGCCTTCATAATATGGGTAGGTCTTGTCCAACAACTGAAGTCCTTAAGAGAAAAGACATAGTTCCTGAAGAAAAAGGAATTATCTTCAAGACAGCAACATGGAAATTCTACCTGAATTTCCAGCTTTCTACCCTGCAGAATTTGGACTCAAGGTTAACATCAACTCTTACCTGCTGGACTGCTCTATGGATTTTTATTTTTTTTTTATTTTTTTTTTTTTAAATTTTATTTATTTATTTGACACAGAGAGAGAGAGCACAAGTAGGCAGAGAGGCAGGCAGAGGGAGAGGGAGAAGCAGACTCCCCGCTGAGCAGGGAGCCCGACGCGGGGCTCGATCCCAGGACCCTGGGATCATGACCTGAGCCGAAGGCAGCTGCCCAACCAACTGAGCCACCCAGGCGCCCCTGCTCTATGGATTTTTAAATGCCAGCACCTCAACCACAGGAGCTAATTCCTTAAAAATTCCATATGTCTCCTGACTAATAGTAAGTACACCTGGGAAAATGACTAGCTATACTAAAAAAAGAATACCTTCTGAGAAGCAGAACATCGAGCTATGGACTAAGGAGAGGGTACGCAATTCTCCCCCAAAACCAATTAAAAGCAGGATGAAACTGACGACCCTTCAGTTCTCTGGAAATCAACCAAAGGAATACAACAACCTAAGTAGCATTTATGCTTGAAAACTGCTAAATGCTGAGTAAGAACAATGACAGTCTGTGGCATTCTTGCCTAAGACGATTCCCACTCCATCATCCACCCACTCAGCAGGACAGAGGTTCTGCAGAGCAGGGCCAGTCAGGGCAAACTATGAAGACTGGTGGCTTTGCTTCCAGGATCAAAGGGAGATCACTCATTTTGGAGTGGTGAGTAACACACATGCTCCGCTGCACTCTCAGTGTAAGTGATGTTCCAGGCGGCAGGTGAGCAGGCAGGACGAACAGCCCTAGCAGTCTCAGGGTGCAGTCGTGACTGGCAAGTTCACTGCCAACTCAGAGGTGCATGGAGGCAAAGAGGAGACATGAAAGGAATGAGAGGAAAGTAAACACCAGTGCAGATCTGAACATGCCCTGAACTTTGAATGTGCTCCCCTACCCACATGCAGATCCACTGGCAGATGAAAAGTCGTACTATCTTAAGACGTTTGAGCACAACCACTGTCCATTAACCTATGCTGACAGGAAGGCAACCCCTAGAAAGCCATGCTTAAAAATGAAAACAATTTTAAGTGTGTGTGTTTGTGTGTATCTGAGCAGCTGCATCAGCATACATTTATATGAAATGTCCACACAAGGCGAATTTATAGAGACAGAAAGCAGAAGGTGGAAGCAGGAATTTAATGACAAATAGGCATGAAGTTACTTTTTGCAGTAATGGAAATGTTCTAAAACTGGACTGTCATGATAGTTACACAACTCTATAAAATCTACTAATAAAGTCACTGAATTGGACCCTTACAATGGGAAATCTTTCTTTTTTAAGATTTTTAAAAATTTATTTGACAGAGAGAGACACAGTGAGAGAGGGAACACAAGCAGGGGGAGTGGGGGAGGGAGAAGCAGGCCCACCGCTGAGCAGGGAGCTGATGTGGGGCCCGATCCCAGGACCCTGGGATCATGACCTGAGCCGAAGGCAGCCGCCCAATGACTGAGCCACCCAGGCAGCCCCAATAATGTTTCTGATCAAATATTATTCAGTGGTGATAAATTCAGTGGTAATAGGAATACATTAAATAAATAATGGGTTTTACTGAGAAGAGCAAAGAAATTATCCTAGAAAAATTATCTCATGTTTTCCATTTTATGAACGCTGAGATGAAATAAAAATTCATTTAAGTCTGAACAAAGCAAACAAAACTTACTTAGTGAAAACAAAGAGAAGTGCTCTTAGGGAAGCAATGAACTCTAATAATGATTGGTTTCATTTTAGATAGTTATACAGGAATGATTCCTCTAGCACATTTCATTTGTGGGGTAGCAGATGCATAATGCATGTTGTAGGAGAGAAGAACAGTAATCACTAAGAAATCACTCGAAAATGGGAAAGCTTTTTAGTAAAATTTAGTACTATATGTATTTTAAATTACATTTAACTTACCAACCTCTGACCTCAACATGTGATAAATAAATGAGTCTTCTTCCAAAAATTACCTGAGCAACAATTTAAAATTCAATTGTACAGGGGTGCCTGAGTGGCTCAGTCGTTAAGTGTCTGCCTTCAGCTCAGGTCATGATCCCAGGGTCCTGGGATGGAGCCCCGCATTGGGTTCCCTGCTCCGAGGGAAGCCTGCTTTTCCCTCTCCCACTCCCCCTGCTTGTGTTCCTTCTCTCGCTGTCAAATAAATAAATAAATAAATCTTAAAAAAATAAAATTCAATTGTACAAAAACAAGATATTAATAAACCAAATCTTCCCCAAGCACATATGAGATACAAAATATTCACCAAGCAAAAGCTAACATGACAAAACCACTTTACTAGAGCAACCAAGAGTATCAAACAACTTTGTCTTAAAATAGCCCAAATTCTCAGTAAAATACATAAAAAGACAAAAACTGGAAATATATTAACATATTTGTGTCCAGAAACATAAAATCATCTTAATGGCTGCATAATACTTTACTGAAAGGATCTATAACCAAGCTCATGTGAGTTTGCTCCTTGGTGAGTTACAGGTAGAGACTACACCAAAAGTGGTGTTGTCAAACAAAGGAAGCTGTTTTTAGCAAATAAGGAGATCATGAAGAATAACGTCCAAAGCGGTAAATCCCTAAGCAGGGGTGAGTGGGTACCTTTTATTTGGGGTTAGAACAAATATTCAGAAATGGAAGCTCTGTCATCACATATAAAGGTGGGTATAAGGTTGCACTCTCTTACTTAGAAAACAGGCCTATATAACATACATCGTATGTTATGTTACTGAAGCTTGTGCTCCTCCTAGGATGGAAGACTTTAACATTCAAGGAAGCAGAGGTAACTGTCAAAGGGGCTATGGGCATGCTCTGAGATCTTGTATAAACTGGATGGGGTTTTGGGCTCCTTATCTCAGGAAAGGAATGTAAGGCTTTGCTTGCTTATGGAACAGAACTGGAATTTTTACCACTGATTTATTGTCTCTGATATGGTTAGGCTATTTCCTGGCCTGGGAGAGACTTAGTTTTTGCATTCCCTTTATCCCATCAAAATTCTTTTTTTTTTTTAAGATTTTATTTATTTATTTATTTGAGAGAGAGAGAGAGCGAGAGCACATGAGAGGGGGGAGGGTTAGAGGGAGAAGCAGACTTCCTGTTGAGCAGGGAGTCCGATGCTGAACTCGATCCAGGGACTCCGGGATCATGACCTGAGCTGAAGGCAGTCGCTTAACCAACTGAGCCACCCAGGCGCCCTGTCCCGTTAAAATTCTTAACTACTGGGGCGCCTGGGTGGCATAGTCAGTTAAGTGTCAGACTCTTGGTTTTGGCTCAGGTCATGATCTCAGGGTCGTGAGATCGAGCCCTGCACTGGGCTCTATCTTCAAAATACAGTCACAATCTGACCACTTCTCAACACTTCATTTGCACCACCAGCATCTCGTACCAGGATTATGGGAAAAGTATCCTTACTTCTACTCCTGCTCCCTAGAGACTATTCTCCACTCAATAGCCAGAGGGATCTTTTTAGAATTTAGTCGGAACACATCATTCCTCTGCTCACAGCCTAGTATTGTT